CACTCGCAAGAAGCATTCTGTTTCGTGACAGAAGTCACGTCCAGGGAAAACAACTTTTTGAGCCGAGTGTTCTGCAAAATTTTCCGTTTTGCTTTATTTGTTAGGAACAGCAACAGTACAATATACCTTTAAGCATCTCTTTTTCTGACTTCATGTTATGCTTTTAACTTGGCTCTCAGTACAGTTGCTTGTATCATGTGACAGGTCACTGCTGCACGCTTATTACTGTCGAAGCAAACTGTTCCTCACTATTACTTAACAGTTGACACACGAGTTGATAAACTTATGGAGTGAGTGTTCGTTTATGTTATCTGATGTTTTGCTTATGATCCATTCTGTTGCTCTATAATTTGAACTGTGATCTTCCGACTACAGATTGCGCAGCCAACTCAATTCTTTGCAAGAGGCCTCAGGCGGGAAGCGGATATCTGTAAATGATCTTGTGATCAAGGTAGACGGCCTTTCTTGTCAAACATATAAAATATTTTGATGTTTGTAGATCTGCTTGCTCAATTATCACTATGACACAATTGCTAATGCCGATCTTCCTTGTGGTGCTACTATCTCAACTTAAATATATTTCCTTCTCATCTTCTTTGTTATCTCAGGCTGTGGCTTTGGCCCTTAAGAAAGTTCCACAATGCAATAGTTCATGGAATGACACTTACACTCGCCAGTGAGTATATGCTCTATAGACTGTAATATCTTGAAAAGCTGGGTCAAATATCCGGACAGTATTAGTATGGTAAATCATGTATCATCTCTTTTCTTTTCTGTTCTTGGTACAGGTATAAGAATGTAAATATCAACGTAGCCGTACAAACAGATAATGGGCTGTACGTTCCAGTTATTAGGGTAAGAAATGACGATCCTAGAGATTGCTGTGTGCCAAGTTACATTCCATTATTACTGATAGATTAGTGCTTAACGCAAATCATGCTTATAACATATCCCAGGATGCCGACAAGAAAGGTTTGTCAGCAATTGGCGAAGAAGTCAAACATTTGGCCCAAAAAGCCCGGGACAATAGCTTGAAGCCAGAAGATTACGAGGTACTAATCACTATTTCCTCTATTTGTTCTTTCCTCCTTGGACTTGCTTCTATCCAAAAGCTTTACTTAAAATCATGCGATGTCTATTAATGTGTCAGGGAGGAACATTCACTGTGTCTAATTTGGGCGGGCCTTTTGGCGTCAAGCAATTCTGCGCCATTGTGAATCCTCCACAGGCAGGAATTCTAGCTGTTGGTTCAGGTAAAAGATAAATCCTTTCCTTCCACATCAACAAAGACTTGATGGTTCCCTGCTGATGATAATTTGCTTCCACCTTCAACAGCCGAGAAGAGGGTAGTGCCCGGTTCCGGTCCTGATGCCTACTCGTTTGCTTCATTCATGGCCGTGACACTAAGCTGTGACCATCGGGTTATCGATGGTATGATCTTACCGAACATCTTTTTTTACAATCATCTGTACATTCTGACTCAACATAATAGCATTGACACTGCTGAATATGTATCAGGCGCTATTGGGGCAGAATGGCTGAAGGCATTCAAGGGTTACATTGAGAATCCTGAGTCGATGTTGCTATAGAAAATTGAACCACGTGGGCAAGCAATGGAAGCCAAGCGTGCATCTGAAACCAGACACACTGATAACACTGTTGGAAACTCCATTCCGGTTTTTTATTGCATTCATTGAATTCGAACGAGCAAAAGCATGTTTGATAGAGTTAGCATTTCCTTTAGGGGAGTAAAAAGAAACCGTTGTTGATGAGTTCAATAAGATAGGGGATTTTCAAGGCTTTGTAAACCCAAAAGGTACCTCAAATTTTTTGACACCAGCAGAGAGGGAAAGAACAAATGGCCCCATTCCATTGCTTCTGCAGATGCAAGATTTTTAATCGACCAAGTCGATGTTTCGTATAGTTACATTCAAAATTCTTGTTCTATTTCATTTCCTGTAGTTACATTCAAAATTCTTGTTTAGTTTCAGGTCTGGCGCCATCAGGTTAGTGTTGGACACCGATACTTGGATCAAATAAGACCAATCCGACGCTTAATCGCACTCGATTTAGATTCTTGAATTCAATATTATTTTTGGTTTGACATTCAATGCCTAATGGTTGTCATGCCATCGGTATGACCGACATGATTGATTTACGAACTCTAAGCAAATCGAAGTCGTTTAGTAAATTTAATTAATTAAAAAATAAATTTATTACATATTTTATGAATATAAAAGTTAAAAGTTGATGTAATTTGTTGGATTCAAGTATAAACGTTGAAGTATTGACGTTAAATGTTGTATTTAAATATGAGTATTTATTATTTTATTTGAAATATCGTATTTTATTAAGCCGGCATGAACCAACACAAACCGGTTGTACAACTGGTCGTACCATTACACTAGATAAACCGACACAATAGTATTAACCGGTTTGACAACCTTGATGTACCCTCTTACACAGTAAATATGCAGAGTAAAATACATATGATGTCACTTGAATTTACAGGTTGATGAGTGCATGTCACTTTACTTTATTTAAGGAAGTGCATATCACTAAATACTCGTTTGTGTATTGGGTACCACATAAATCTAGTCTATAATAAGTGCTTTATATTAAAATTGACAAAATATTCTTCTAAATTTTAAAAGTAATACATCTTCTTTTCCTTTTTACCAAAATTCTTTTGAATTTATTCGAAATACTCTTACCTCACAAGTGTCAAGAGTTCTAAAACCAACTATGGTGAGACTCATCCTTTGTATGTACTGATGGTAATGGAGAGAGGCAAGTACCGTTCATACTCATTTCGCACCAAGCGCGGGCCGAAGCGATGTGTGGGTACGGAACGGAGTGGGTTGATCCAATCTTACATGTTATTTGAAAAAATTATACGCAAAATTTAACATTTTACAATAAAATGAAGAGTAAACATTTTATGAATGAAAAACAATGATAATAGAATGTGTAATTGAGTTTAACTAGTTGCAAGATCAAATTTAACTAGTTGAAGAAATATTGAAAAAAGGATAAGTATGAATAAATATGTAAGAAATTGATATATAATAGGTCAAGAACGGGGGCGGGATGGATTGGACATAGATAACTATGCCCCGCCCCACATTACTACGGTTCGGATATATCCGACAGGGCGAGTTCAATTTGTCATCCTATTTGTATGAACTACTCATAGTTATTTTTATAAAGTAAGCTAATTAGGTTCAAAAGTAAGCTAATTAGGTTCAAACTCATGTCGCCTAGCAGTAAGTAGTTTACTAAATATTAGATCATCTACTTAAATCACAATATTTTTCATTAAACCCATAGATTTTAGAAGGTCGTTCATTAGCAGTAGTATAAGAATTTTGAGCTACATTTGAATTTATTTAGAAACATAAGCCTCTCATTGGTTTCTCGTGGTTATTTATGAAGAAATTGCCTTTCAATAAAGTTATGAGAACCAAAATGTAACTAATATTTTGGGTTGGACAGAAATGGGTTGAATGCACTTTCATAAGACTCTAATGATACTTGATGTCTTATTCTAAATTTAAATGGTGTGAGAGCATCTCCATTGGAATTGCATTATGACATGACATTCATTTGCAATTGCATTAATGTAGATGACAATTGCATCTTTGCAAGCTTGTATATAATGTAATTATTCAATGCAAGCCACATCATCTTTTTTATTATTAAATTATTTATTAATTTTATTATTTGAGTGTTTATATTTTAATAAATTAAATCAAAAAAATTAGTTGCAATTACAAGTTAATTGCATTGATGCAGTGCAATGCAAGTAAGATGAGTTTGATTGCAAAAAAATGAAGTAACAATAAAAAAAAATGCAATTGCAAATGCCATTGCACCAATAGAGATGCTCTGAGGGTGTACATGAGTTGGGCGGTTCAGGTTTAGCCATTTTAATCACTCGACCCATGCATTACGGTTTGAGAAATATTAAATCCAAACCCATAAAAAAAATTAAAACTTTACAGTTTGTTTCTAACTAGGTTGGGTCAAGTTGGTGATATTTTTAAGTAAAAACCCAACCCAACACAAAATATGTAATTATTCTAACCATAGAGATATTTTTATAACTAATTAAAATTTCAAACAAATAATCTGAGGTGAAAGGTATCAAAACATGTCTAGTTTTTTCATGACATTTGTCGAAATATGCTAAAAAGGTTATAAACGAACACATCCATAATATGTTATTCTATTAACATTGTACATAAGAAAAAGGATTACGTGAATCATAGCTATATTTAATATATGTCTAAATTTTTAAGCCAAAAAATGCATAAGATTAGGGAGACCATAAGAGAAAAATATAGCGAAATATCTTAATTTTCTCATAAGTATGGCTATATACTATATAAATAGTTTTTGGTTACGAACTCATATCAATAGTTGGAACACGAGTAGGATCAGATACTACGAGTTGTATAATCCAAAATCTAAATCCAACCCAAAAGAGACGGATTGTACAAAAGAAAACCCTAACCTAAACCTAAACCTTAGTTTTAATGTTAAATACGAGTTTTAATGTCAAATACGGATCGGTTGGGTAGGACGGATGGGTCAGTTTGCAGGTGTATTTGTTCACCCAAGCTACTCCAATTCTCAAACTCTTATCATCAAACTTAAGTGATAAGAAGAGTGTTTTACCCAAATATGTTTGAAGTATACATAGCTTTCACGGATAGAATCTATAGCTGCAAATATGAGCCGAAAGTTTAAGGTGTCTGCCTCTTTGGCTTTTTTGCTAGCGAACTGTCTAAAAATGTACAAGAATGGGGAAATTGAGGTGGTCATCACTAACAAGAATTGCATGAAATTCACAAGCCAGAAAAAGGATAAAGAAGTTAAAAACTCAAACACATCATTAAGCTTGGCTGACTTTGTGACAGGCAAGGAGCCACTGACACAACTAGAAAAACAAAACCAGCACCATTGGATCCTCATTGTTGAACCAGATTATGTAGGTGTTCAAATCCATTCTTTTTTTGAACAAACCATGCACACTGTCAGGCACTCTGCATTAAGATTTCATCCTAGACATGGTATAAAGCAGGAGATTGCCTAGTTGGATAAAAGACCAACAGACCTCTACCTAGAAAGTAACATCAAGAACGGTTCGACACAGCTGAGAGGTACAGGATTAAGGAATAAGCTGCAGCCAAAGCATACATGCATGATGCATTATACATCTGATGGATGAACTAAAACTCAGCACTAGCAGCTTAATAAGATCCTAAACTGAAAGATGACCTGCAACAACAGATCCACAGCACAAAAAAAAGCTTCCAAACAGCATAGATTTCCTTATCAAGGATACTCATTGAGATCAGATATTACGCAACCACGCCGGAGCACAAACACAAATGCACTACAACATTTGTAGCTCTATATCAAAGCAGCAGCAGAATGTTATTCCTTAAATTCGAACAAAGTCGGCGAATTACATCACCAGAGAAATGAGAACACCACCATTATACATTTCATCAAATTTTTGTTGTTCATCACAGCATGATTCTTCCATGCCAAAATAACATTGAATTTTTCCACACTTACCAACTAACTACTCTTTCCTTTGATTCATTCTCCCTGTGCTTCTTCTTCTTCTTCCTAATTTCCATTCCACCAAATTTCTACTATCACGATCAAAACTGGAGCAGAACACAGCATATCAAATCTTATTACAAAACAACCATAAGGCTAAAGGAGAAGTCTAAAACAAGAGCTCAAACCCTAACCTCAAAGCTCCAACCTTTCTCCTCGTCCTCCCCTGTTCCGATCAAATCATGGCATACCTCTTCATCGCCTGCTTCCCAGCCACCACAGCTCCTGCAGCCAGCCCTCCCAAAGCCCCAGCGACAGCAGCAGACCTCACCCCTCTCGCCGCCCTACAAACGGCGCCGGTCCCGAGCCCGGCCGCAACGCTGGTCCAAACGTCATCCCGATCCGTAGCCGCAACAATCCCACTCTCTGCCATCGCGTAGATCAACCCGACGATCCCGATCCGGTTCCCCCAGACCCGGCCCACGTGGCCGGAGCTATTGAGGACGCGATTCACCTTGAGCTTGAGCGTATCGTTCGGCTCGAACGCCTTGACCGCTGAGTAGAGCCCCGCGGCGCCTCCTCCGACGGAGGCGCCCAGGTAGGCGGTGCCGGTGTAGAAGGTGAGATTCTCGCCCCACGAGCGGCGCTGCTTGATGGATTCCTCCGAGAAGAGGTACTCCGGCGATGTGGGTAGGTTGTAGAGGGTTTTGATCGGGGTGTTGAGGTCCTGGTACGGGTTGTAGAGACGGGGCTGCGGTGGTTGCTGCTGGGATCGGCGGTCGGGATCGTGGTTGTGGTCGGAGTGGGAGAAAGACATTGCGGTGGGTTCCGGCCGAAGAGATGGAGAGGCGGAGGAATTAGGGTTTGGTGTGGATGGCGATGGCGGCGATGGATGGAGAGAGCGCAAAAAGAAAAGACGGAAACTTTATGAGTGGCGGAGCAAATTGGGGGAATTGGGCTTTCGATTTTGTAACCTAACCTGTGGAAATCAAAAGGGACTTGTGCCGATTCTTCTGTGCTTTGAAGATTCCCAACTCCCACGTTCTCCCTCTCTCTTTCTCTCCCTCCGAACAAGACTAACTCCAACCCAAAAGGTTATATTTAGCCTCTCAAGCTCTCAAATTTGCATTTTTACCTTTCAAAACTTCCAAAAACACTTTTTTTTTCAAAAAAAAAAAACTCATAACCAACCAATCAAAAATTAAAAAAGTAAAAAATAAAAATGCTTTAAAGTGGAGGGCCCCAGCGTGTGGGCTTGAGTTCCATGGTTGGTCCCCCCACATTCTCCTTGCATTTTTCCATATGAGCTTCTATCTATCCACCTCCAAGCCAACTTCTCCAAATTTGCAAGCCAAATAATTGGTGGGTTGGAGATGAAAAAAACCAAAAACCTCCCTTTCTCCAAATTTGCATGCTTGGGTTGGAGACAGTCTAACAATCGTGGGTGGCTAAATAGTTCCTTCACACCTTTTTTTTTTTACTTTTGTCGGCCAAAAATATATTTGAGGTGAGTAATCTATTGGGTGTGCCTACGGTGACATGCATGTCACGGTGACTTGCACTTTCTGGTCGACCTCAGTTAGGATTAGGTCGACCTCATTTAGAATTCGGTCGACCTCATATAGGATCGAGTCGACCTCATCTGTTGTTTTAGTGTAAAAACAGATCATGGTGCATACTTTGGATATTCATATCATACAATTGGTTAGATGGAAATTGAAGACTAATGACTTGTTTTGAAGCTGAAGTGTCCCTCTACATATTGAAGTGATTGAGAGCTCGATAGGAAGTCCAGAAGACCATTTTTGAACCTCATCAAAAGGCTATGCCAAAACTGGGAAACTGCATGGAAATGGCTAAGTCTGGAAACGTGTTTGTGAAGCCTATTTTGGAGCTCAATTCGAAAAGCATGAATGTGAGTCGAGTCTAGGAGCCTCTACCACGTTAAATTAGGTATGTTTTTATACAAATTCAAGGTATTGGATGAAAGATTGGATATCTGTAAGGCTTTAAATAAAAGGGTCGAAGTTGCTACGAAGGCTGTTTTTCTGGCAGACTTCGAGCACAAGCAAGCTGCCAGAAAAACAGCCTTCGTAGCTACTTCAAGCCTTTTGTTTGAAGCCTTAAAGATATTCAATCTTTCATCCAATGCCTTGCCTTTGTATAAAAAAATACGTAATTTAACGTGGTAGAGGCCCCTGGACTTGACTCGCATCCATGCTTCTCAAATTGAGCTCCAAATTAGGCTTGACAAACACGTTGCCAGACTTAGCCATTTTCAGGCAGTTTCCCAATTTTGGCATAGCCTTTTGGCGAGGTTCAAAAATGGTCTTCTGGACTTTCTATTGAGCTCCCAAGTACTTTAATGTGTAGAGGGACACTTCAGCTTAAAAACAAGCCTTCAATCTCCAATTTCCATCTAGCCAATTGTAAGATATGAATCTCCAAAGTAGACACCATGAAAGTGTTTTTACACTGAAACAACAGATTAGGTCGACCTAATCCTATATGAGGTCGACCGAAAAGTGCATGTCACCGTGACATGCATGTCACCGTAGCAAAATCTTTTTTTTTTATTGTTGATTGATTCTCAATTTTGATTTTGAATAGCATGATGCTAGAAGACACTGAAAAAAATTATAATGGATGATGTCCCACCTCAAAATTAAGGATGATGAAAGTTATGAAATATGATTAGGATTTGAATTTGAATTTCTTTCTTACTTTTATATAATAATTTTAATGTATATATTGATCATATCGATATCGAGGAATACATTTAAATGTATGAAGTCATCGACGAGGTTAATTTTTACCTTGTTTTGGTAGAAAATTGGATCAAATATGAAATTTGAGACTTTTCTCATTATTTTCTATTATTCGATTAATTATTTTTTAATATTATCGCTCCCATGTTTTGGTAGAAAATTGGATCAAATATGGAATTTGAGACTTTTATCATTATTTTCTATGATTCGATTAATTTTTTTTTTAAAGATTATCGCCCCATGAAAAGTTAAGATACGATTAAAAAAATTATTGAATCTAAGAAAATATTGGAAAAAAAATTTACAATCTAAATGAGTACATAATTCTTTCCCCACCTCTTCTTCCATATCCCTATCCTTTCACATTTTTCTCCCAAAACTTTCAATAATTATCGACTTCTTTCCCTTTGCATGTTTCACCTCTTCTTCTTTCTTCATACTTATTCTCCAAAATAATAATGGAAATGATTCTCCCCATCTAAATAAACAAAGTTGGAAACTTGAATAACATGAAGACCAACACAAAACCTTCTCTCCCTTTTTTGAGCTAGCTAGCCACCATTTTCCCCACTTAATTTTCATCTGCTGAAAAGTTCCTGAAATGATCCCAGACAAAGAAAGAACCATTAGAAGAAAGACACTCAAACATTCTAACATTTCAACAAACAACTACCACATACCTCGTTATAGTGTGGTGGTGCAACATCCATGTCTTCTTCAGGACAACCCAACGAGAAATTACCCACAGCAAAATCTCGCAACCGGTTCAACTCCGGAAGCACTACATTCCCAAGGCTAGGCCTATCCTTCTTCCTCAGCTCACAACACTGCAATGCCAGCTTGGCGAGCGACAGAGCCTCCTCCACGGGCCAATCCTTAACCGTGGGGTCGAGAACCGTCGAGAACCTCTCGTTCTCGACGGCTTCTTCGACATGGTACGACAACCCCATCGGGGGTTTCCCCGTGATGAGTTGCAACAGAACCACGCCGAGTGAGAACAAGTCCGATTTCACGGACAGTAGCCCTGTCTGCTGGTATTCCGGGTCAATGTAACAAAACGTCCCTGCCGCTGCAGTCATATGGTATCTTGTCACGTTACTGTTTGGTGCGGCCCCCGGGACGAGCCTCGCGAGGCCCACGTCCCCTATCTTGCTAACGTAGTTGGAATCCAGAAGGATGTTGGCGGGCTTGAGGTCGCGGTGGACGATGGGCTCGGGCCTGTGCTCGTGGAGGTAGAGCAGGCCCGTGGCGATCTCGGAGGCTATCTTGAACCTCGTGGGCCATGGGATCGACGGGGTGTTGTCTTTCCTCATGAGACGGTCTTCTAAGCTCCCATTGTCCATGTACTCATAGACCAGGCACCCGTATTGAGGGCATGCGCCTAGGAGATTCACCATGTGTGGGTGTCTCACGGTACTCAATACCTCGACCTGTTGAGAGAGAGAAAGAAAGAGGATGATGAAAAAACAGTCTTTTCGTGCTATTTAAACAGAAGTTACTTGAATTACCTCTTTTTGGAACTGTTTTTGTCCTTGAGACAAGTCCGGTCTGACAACTTTGATCGCGACAGGAACGTCATTGATTATGCCTTTATAAACAGGTCCATACCCACCTTCACCAATCTTTTTCGACGGGGCAAAGTGGTTCGTCGACATCTCTATATCTTGGATGTTATACTCTCTGAACTGAACAATAGGATTTTGACTGTCGCCGCCGTAATATGCAAGCGACTCCGTTGATCTAGAGTCGTGGTGGTGGTTCTCATCTCTTAGAGCTTGCTTGTAATTGGCTCTCATTATTTCTGCATTTTGCTTCTTCTGAACTTCCATCTCCGACAATAGTTGTGATATTCTCGCCGCCTTGTTCCTCTGTAATTCGATTTCCGGTGTTGAAATCTCGAGGTTCAAGGACATAGTGGAATCCTCGTCGGATTCGGATTCACGAGAATAGAAATTTTGCGGTTTTGTCATCTGTGGAACAAAATGTAGATAAGGTGATAATAAGTAATGTGACTCGATAGGTCTCAATTCATCCTTATAAATCTACTTATTAGATGAAACCATAAACTAATAACTCGATCGTATATAACCACTATAACTGGAAACACTCGTATGTAGTTCCTTCTCATACCCGAGATAAATTTGACTTAAAAGTATATCACTGGAAATTTTAACAAACATAATAACTCGATATACCATTTGATTGGCCGTGGCAGCATCTTTGCAAATGGAATGGTAAGCATCGAGAGTTTGCTGCAGTTCAAGCTTCATTCTCCTGATTTCTGAGTCAATCAATTGCTGTACGTAATTGCCACGAAGAAATGGTAAGAAAGTGGTTAAATATCATACATGCACGTTTCTTGGCAATTAGAATTATTGATATCAGTTGGTTTATGACATTGTATTAGAGTTGGTTTGTCTTTGAGATCATGTGTTCAAGTTCTAATGACTTCCAATATTAACTGTTTTCTAAAGTACATGATATGGTGAGTTTTCTGTGTAAACTTCAAACTCATGAATTGACGTAAAAGAAGTGTTTGGTTTATAGTAGAAATCACAAGAAGAAGAAACGTCAATTTTTTTTACTAGCTAGTAATTCTAATGGTAAAAATAGTGTAATGTTTTAATGCTTTTTACCTACATCATGGAAAGTAGAACCAGCAAGTAAGGGGCTTATCTAGAACCATTGATTGTTAGAATACATATGTTTTGAGAATATATAATACTCGAAACATATGAATTACACAAATGAAATGCACCGTTTCAAAATTATAATTTATAACTAAATAAAATTAAAATTTAATTTTTTAGTCACATGAATACCTTTTTATTTTATATAAAAAAGATGCATGTGGGTTTGACTACCTTTTTAATATTTGGAATTTTAAATATTATTTTGTATATCTAATTAAAAATTATATTTGAATTTGTGCCAAACACATAAATGAACTAGAAATACATATGTAATTTATTCTTTGTGACTTTGAAATACACATCAACAACTAGTGATTTGAAATTTCTCACGGCAACATGTTAAATATTTTTATAAAATTAAATTTTCAATATTAAAAATGTAAAGGTATTAAAATATAATTTAACCACCAAAAGTTATAGACCAATTTGTGAAAAAATAAAATTCAGGAACTAATTTGCAATAAGAATGATTTTATCTAACAAATCTAATGTGTGAGAAAAGATTCAAAATTTAATCAGAAAAATACCAAATAATCAAAGGGAACATAGTATAGAATCTAATTCCTTACCATGTTTTCGGATGAATTATTTGAGCTGGTAGAACTAGCTGACAATCTAGAGAACTCCGTACTATTATTATTGCTCTCATACGACGCCGCATCAACATACTGAAAGTTCCTCGTCATCACCGCCGACGACAACGACGACGCCGACGAAGCATCGCTGAAATTCGACATGCCGGCAGATTCCGCCGCGGGCAACCTACTGATCATCCTGCCTTGATGATGATGATGCCCCGAAGGTACAGCTGGTGTTCTGCCATACCCGCCGCCGCCTCTGCTCGCCGACATTCTGGTAACACCGGCGGATTCGCTGCTCTCGACGGACATTCTGTCGGACGATAACTCGCTCCTGAAGCTCCCCTGGCTGTAGCTGTACTCCGACACCGACATTACTTCGGACTGCTGGTCGGGGCTCGGCGGAGGGAGCTGGTGGTTATGCGGCGCCGGCGGCGGCTCATTTGCTAGCCGCAAGCTCTGGAGTTTGCCCTTGGAGATGACGTAGACGGAGCAGGAATCCGGTGCGGCCTGGAGTAGGGTTGTTGAAAGGCTGACGCTCCAGAACTTCCTGAGACAGTGGAACCAAATCGAGATATGATTGAATCAAAAGTAAAGATGAGATAATTATCACAATTAATTAATGTATAAGGTTTGGTTCATTCCAAACTTAGTGTACGTAACATACTATAGCACGTAATTAATTACTAAGCACGTGTTACCAATTTTTATACATAAATTTTTGTTAGAAGATTGAAAACCCAGTAACGAACGATATAGTAACGTAACATTTTTGCTGAACTACCTTATCATAAAAGAATGTGGTTGTTTCAGAGAGACACATACTATAGATGACATATACCGATATACGGTTCGAATTTCGTCATAGGACATTCAAAATTGGTATACAACAATATAATACAATAACGACATAGTATCCATATTCATAAGGGAAGTATTGATCTAAGAGACAGAACCTGGAGAAAGCACTCTTGTTGGTGGCACCAATGACCAGAGTCGCTACGGAGTTCTTGGCAATGAACTCTAAGAGAGCTTTTGCTATATCTGTATCAAACAGAAGCACTTCCTGGGCTTTAATCTGGAATATTATACAGCAGACAACAATATATATATATTACCAAACACATTATTTAAGAAGATAAAGAAAAAGAAAAAAAATTTGGTCGCACAAGACACAAATTTCATTGAAATAGATATGCAAGAATGATATATATTTTTTTTCTGGACACTACTCGCCCCTTTTCTGGCACAAAATCCTCGGAACGGAAGGAATAGTTGCTGCAGCTCCTTCTTGGATGGCCCATTTGGGTTCTCTGCCAAATATCAAGGTCAATCAATTCTTCCTTACCTGTAAAATGGTTTTGTGAAAATTGAACGAGAAAGACACAGTCTGATTTCGTACATAGAAAAGAACAGGATATTTGGACATAAAAAGGTGGATTTCTCAAGCAAACTTTTTTTTTTTTTTTGGGGCAGGATTTCATGCACAAATTGGAATGCATTATGCATAAGAATGAACATGAACATTATACTAATGAGTCTAAGAAAAATAAAAGGAACTCACGATTGGGAGCTGGTTTGTTGTGGACATGAACAAGAATGCAAGAGGAAGATTCGCCCTTTCTCAAGAGATTGTCTGTAGCCCATTTCACAGCAAAATGGCTGTTCTTTCCCATATCAACCGCAATTGCTGTTACTCCTGGGTTTTCTCCTTCGATGTTTGATCTTGTTCTTACAAACCCAGGCGCCATTTTTTTATAAAAAAAAAAAACTGTTCCGTAAAACTCCAAAGAACAACACAACAAAAGAAAGGAGAACTTTAAGAGGGAAACTGATTATATTATAAAAAAAAACGAACAACTTTTTTGTGACGGATGAAAAGGGTGAATATGTTAATTAGATTCAGATTAATTTCATGAAGTTTGAAGGTGGGGAAAGAATTTTTTTTGACGAGAACTTCAAGAATATTGAGGCGTGGCTGTTCTTTTTGCCATGGCCGCCATCAGACCATAACCAGGCCTTAGCTTGGCCTGGGGCAAAAAGAACAACAAGAAGTTTGAAATTTTTTCTCAGGAAACAAATTAGAAGAAGGAAATGTATAATGGGGATTTTTTTTGGAATTTTCATAGCTAATTAATAGGGTATTATTAATTATGGGGAACATTGTGTTGAGATTGAAACAGAAAGTATTTTACAGAGATAGAGGTAATTATTAACAATTGTGAGACACAGATCAATTGATGTAACAATTATTAGTTATATGTTTTTTTTTTACTTCTGTTGTTATTGCTAATGTTTGTTTTGGGAAAAGGCATTGGAGCTAGTTAGTTAGATTTTGTTGTAAAAGTTGGTGCAATACATCAAAATTGATATTATTGGTGTCTTTTAAATATAGAGTAAAATTCAATTGATATTATCGTCATAATCAAAAAATAAGTTAGAAGGAATATAAAAAAATGGGGTTAAAAACACATTTGGTCACTGAGATTACTAAATCTGGACATGTTTAGTCACTAGAAAAAGTTAATATCAAATTTGGTCACTATAATTACTAAAACGAGTCACATTTAGCCACTCGCAGTTAGTTGCCGTCCAACTCCGTTAACAGAGTCTGTTATATGCTGACGTGGCTAACGTGAGCGCCTAGTCAGCGCCTTTTTGGACTGGAAATGGTCAAACCCGACCCACCACGTCACTAAACCAGCCATATCATAACCCCAATCCAACCCATGAACCCAACCCGACCCACTTAACAAAACAAATCTGCCATCTCTCTCCTCCTAGCAGATCAACATGAAGATTCTGCTCTCCCCTAGCAGCCGCCGGCATCAGTGCCAACCTACTCTCCCGTCCAACACTTGCTCTACATCCTCCACGAGCTCTCCTCCAAACCCAGAAGCGCCAACCACTGCCGTTGACCTCCGATTCCTCACCCACCACTTATCCTCTGCTTCTCCCCCGCTACCACCATGGAAACCAACCAGATCCAAGAAACCCCATTCTGGATCGGACCTCCAATCCCTCACCCACCACTTATCCCCTACTTCTCCCCTGTTGCCGCCATGGAAACCAACCAGATCCGACAAACCCCATTTTGGGTCGGGGATGAGTTTTACCGCTTTTGTAATCAACAAATTGGGTTGGATTTTGTTAAAAGCTCAACCTGCTTTATCAAACCGTACAGAGGAAGTTGAATCTAATTTTCAAAAAATTTGGGTCACTTTGGGAGTGAACCCTAATTGAACCCACGTCTTATGACAATTGAATTGAACCCATATTCATATTTGTTTAAGCTAATTCGACCCGATACTGCTGTTGCCGCATTTTGGGTCGAGAATAAATTTTACCCGCTTTTGTAATTAATGAATTGGGTCGAGTGTGGATTTTGTTACAAATTTGCTCCGCTTTATCGAGTTGAATCCAGTGGTGAAATTTTTTGGTTCGTGGACGAGTTGTACCCGCTTTTGTGATCAACAAATTGGGTCACGTGTGGATTTTGTTAGAAACTTACCCCGTTTTATCGAACATATTAGAGAGAGTTCTAAACACTTTTTCGTAGAATCACATCACAAAAAGTGCTCTTTTTGTAATTAACCAAAGATAGGAGGAGTTTTGGTGTTATTAGGGTAATTATGTGGACTCATTTTGGTTAGTTTAGATTTATTTTTATTTTCATTTAATTCTCTCTCTCTCTCTCTCTCTCTCTCTCTCTCTCTCTCTCTCTCTCTCTCTCCACATCTGCCCATCTCCTCATTTCTCAGCAAGACTACTGAATCAAAAAGAAGAACTAACGAGAGGAAAAACTCGAACAACAAAATACATGAGGGGGTGATTTTTATTTCTTGTTCTACAATAATTGAACTATGACTCAACATTCTATTCTTAAGTTTTTTTCTTCTTCTTTCTACCTTAATTTCGATTACCGGGTACTAAGGAACATATTATTTCAGTATTTAGTTTCAAGTTATAATTCTTTTAAAAAGGTTCACTTTACAACAACAAATCAATAGCCCTGTCGCGAAGCGCGGGCTTCCGTCCTAGTGATATATTGCATAACAAGAGTGAGTGTACCTTGCCCACAGCCTGCTTAATTACAAATTGAGCAGCAAGCTCTTTCTTCTTGGCTGCCGGTTCTCTGCACATAGCTCTGGATTCTCTCCTCCACATAGTGGCGAAGCAGGATTTTACGCAAGGGAATGCCATTTTCTTAATTAAAATAAATAAATATCTTATATGAGAAATTATTAATCCTATATAGTGACTCACAACGTTTTTTTACTATATATAAATTTTAAAATATATGTTCATATAAACTACCAAAGATATTATAGTCAATATATCCTACCAAATTATTCATGATTTTCCTTATCATTCCATCCATGAAGAGTTACGTTAGAGTCATTCTAGTGAATATGGATAGCCGAGGAACATCTATTAGAATGAGATGGTAGAGGTGAACGACTTAGTAACCACATTTGAGTGGATAGTTAGATATTGGGCGTATAGTGGTGTTGTGGAAAGTTAAGAGTCACCACAATTTAGAGTTAACAATTATCTAAAATATTAGAGATTTAAGAAATTGAAAATAATTAAATTTTATTTAATTCGTGTACAAACTATGTTAACGTTTATATAATTGAAAATAATTTAAATGTACGTTCTTAATTTAGTTTTATTACAGAAATAAAATAACATTTTATATTCAAGTTCCATTGCAACCAACCTACTATATATACTAATTTTTAACCCTTTCTCCAATCCAGGGTGTGCAGGGGCATTCGCGACAATATCATGCACTCCCTCCGCCTAGGGCTGGGAGTCTAGACCAAACCGTATGAGAAACCGCGGTCTAGACCGTTTCGTATGGTTTGGTCTGGACCGCGAGACCAGAACTATGGTCTGGTCTGGTTTTCGGTCTCCTCCTTTAGGGCGTGGTCTGAAGTGGTCTGGACCGCGGTCTACCGCAGTAAACCGTAACAGACCGCGACACATTACCTAGTAACTCGGATAAAAATAACACTAAATTGAACCTCCATTTGTGTATTTGAAGAACAAAGTTAGTTGATTCTTCATCTAGTTGAGAGCCAACGAATTACCAAATGATCGCTTAATTGTTATCTCCTTATCAAAGAACCACACAAAAACCAGAAAGATTCATAAATAATATTCACAGACAATGTCTAGACTATGGTTCTTTAAATAAAAAAAAGTCTAGACTATGGAGTCGATAAAAATTAAACGATAGAAAAAATTCGTTCACCTTGATGAGATACGAAAAATTATTGAGAGATATGTGACAATTTTAGTGGTTCAAAATTACCGCAACGTCATCACAAAGGTTATCAACCGGGAGAACCTTCGGATCACTCGAGAGAGGAGAGAAGCGGTAGCACAAAGAGGAATAGGGAAACAATGCTATTTGATGTGTGTGTGTGTTTGAAAATTGAAAAACCCCACTTCTATCCTCATATTTCTTCTCATTTAATTACAATCACAATTTTTTTTTGTTTCAATAGCATATTGGTCACTAGAATTTTTATTTTTATACATGGACTGTCTGGTCCGGACTATACCTTATTTGTTTCAAGAGTTAAATTTTTATTATATATTATAATAAAAAAATTTGAGAGTTAAATTTTTATTTTTATACTATTTCAATAGCTTATTTGTTTCAAGAGTTAAATTTTTTTTTAACATGGTCTGTCTGGTCCACACTATACCGGACCGCACCATACAGGTGTGGTCTGGTCTGGACCGTATAGTATATGGTCTAGTCCATGGTCTGTATTCCAACCTTTCGGTCTAGACCACAAACCGTATCTATCGTCTGGTCTGGACCGCACCGTTTCCCACCCCTGGCTCTGCCCCTGCCTCCACATTCGCGACAATATCATGCACTCGCTGTCTCACGTCCAATCTCAATCTACACATAATATAATACGCCGAAGGGAAAAACGGGAGCTCCATTTCAAATTTCCTACAACGAGAGTGAAAGTAGGAAGGACATTTTGGTCTTCACAATTACTTTTTTTTATTCATTAAAAAGACACGTACTGGGATTCGAACCATGACCATTTTAAAGAAAAGCAAGGATAATAACCAATCACACTACGTACATTTGTTGTATCTTTTTAAATTAAAAACATATAATAGCAGGGAGGAAAAAACCCTTCCCCCATTTCAAATTCCTGCTCCATGAGTGTTTGTAGGAAGGGTAGAATAGGAAGTGTCAATTTTTTTCTCTTTCCTCTGTGGAACGGGCCAACTTACCGTACACATGCGAATTTAAACGGGTCCATGAGTGTCAATTTTTTTTCTTTAAACCCTTTTATTTCTCCGTGGTGATAAAATATATATGAAAAGGAAAAACTAATACTCCTTTTTATTGTTAAAAATAAAAAATTTAACAATAAACTAATGCATGGTATCTAATGGGCTAACCGCTAACCATAAAATAAAAGAGTTGAATGGGCCTGACCTACATGGGATTTGGCCATCAAGTAAAACAAATGAACATCATTGGTTTGTCATTCTAAAACAAGCTATTTTCTATTATGCTATTATTTTATATCTTAGTGGCTAAAATATAATGTATTTTAAAGTTATTCAATGGTTCAACCTCGACCAACACAATTAGTCCAATTTTTATCATTTCAAATATATATTTTATAATTATTTGATATCACAATGATCAAATTATAGTGTATTTTATAGGGAATCGTTTGGTATTTGTTAGTAAAAAACTAAACATAACGATCTATTTGGTTATTTTAAACATTATAACGATCCTAAACATTTTCAGTTCCTTTTGAATTTCCATGGTTTTAATCTCGATTAAGTGATGTGCAAATGGCGAATTGTAGTCGTCTCTTTTCTTTCACTATTTTTTTTATTTTCAAATAGAAAGTTTAAAAGTAAAGAATAATTAGAATTTGGCATGGGTCGATCGAACAGGCTGAATTTCAAGTTTTGGCCCGTTTGTTTTATGCATTGCAAATTTATTAGCATGTTGATGGAAATGGCTTGGAAAAAAGACATATAAGTTGTACCTTTGCAGAAATGTCCTCAAATGT